TTTAAATCTAGAAGTATAAATAAGACAGTCACAGAACACGTAACAATCAAAACAATGAAATGGATTTTCCTCGAGAAATCTTGCTCACTCATATTGAGGTGGTCTGTTGTCATGATAAGTCACACTATTAAAATGAAAAATAGCTACAACTGGTAGTGGGAGGAGGGAGAAAATGAAGACGACAAAAGTAGGAGACTTAAAAAGCATTTCTGGTTTGTTATCTAGTCTTGGAAATCCTTTCATATACACAAGGATAGATCCTGGTCAGCCAGGGGAAGTAAGAAAGGAAAAGATCCAAAAGAAAGGATCTATCGTTTCCTAGGTGACAAGATTCTTAAAGGCACCCTGTTCCTAAAAAAGTAACAGATTGGGCATGCTGGATGGCACCTGTAATCCCAGCATTTTGAGTCCAAGAGCTTTCTCAGATAATAAATGGCCACCAGTAAATTGTTATATAAGCAGGTATCTTCAAAAAATAAATACGTGTAATTTGAATTTTCAGGGTGAAAGTTATGTTTCATCAATGAGCCAAAAAGAAACCACTTTCAGAAAGAGTTGTAATATAGTAAGAACATACTGGAAATGGCTATTTGAAAATGTTTTCATCATTATGTGATTATGTTGGCAAAAACTATGCGTGACACCTGCAAATACTTTCACATCTGTACAGCTAAAAAACTTGAAAGCAGAATTCTTCTAACTTGGATTAAAAGCTTTTGAAGAATTTCAGTAAGTTTGAACCTATTTGTTAACAAAGTATATGTGTGCATCTTCTGATTAATATGCAAAAATGAAAGGTTTGCATCAAGACAATAGGTACTTACCAAATTTCAATAAGAAATAACTTTGCAAAATTGGTAAATTAGATTAAAAATTTTAATCCATCTGGATTTGCTATCTCTGGACAGTATCTTTTTCACTATAAAAGCCCTTAAAACCAAATACAGGAAAAAACTGAAACTAGAACCAGAACTAGAATCATTCAAAAGTATTAAAATAAGGTTTTCAAAAATGGTAAATTTAAAAAAAATTAATTACATTGTTCTCTTTTAAAAATTAAGCATATAAAGAACTCAAAATAGACCTCCCATTTGATCCCACAATCCCATTACTAGGCATATACACAGAAGAAAAAAATCATTTTATCATAAGGACATTCACACCAGACTGCTTATCGCAGTTCAATTTATAATCACCAAGATGTGGAAACAACCCAAGTGCCCATCAACCCATAAATGGATTAATAAACTGTGGTATATGATATCATGGTACTATTCAGGCTTTAAGTAAGTTGGAGACTTTACATTTTTTGTATTAACCTGGTTGGAGTTGAAACACATTCTTCTTAGTAAAGAATCACGAAAATGGAAAAGAAAGTATCCAATGTACTCAATACTAATAAGAAGCCAGTAGAAGATCTAATATATACTCAGAGAAGAGAAGAACTCAATTCAAGTTGGGGGGAGGACAGGGGAAGTAGGGGGAGAGGCTGGTGTGCTCACCTAATGGGCACAATGTCAGGGACAGAACTATAGCAAGGACTTGACCTAATAAATGCAAACATTGTAACCTAATTTTGTGTACCCTCACATTTACCTGAAATTAAAAAAATAAATAAAATAAACATTAGGCATATTATAAATTATTTCAACATATCTTTTTTGTGTGTATGTTTTATAATGTATATATTATTATGTATAGTTTACATTATTCAGGCACAGAAATAAACTTATGGGGGGGGGTGCTTACAAGGATTACCATCCTTCAAGGGTAAGAAGTATAAGACTTCCCAGGCACAGGAAAGAAGATGACCCAAAAGAAGCAAAGAAAGAAAACACTTAGAAGGAACAGTGGCACAGTTAATGTGACACCCTCAGAGAGACTGGCCAAACAAGCAACTGCAAAAACAGAAAACTTGTTCTGGAATAATCCAACCTCAAGACAATGCTGAGGGGACAAAGCCCCAGCAGCAAACAGCAGCCAACACAGAAAAAAACAAGTGCACAAAACAGGAGGGGCCGTATTCAAACCAGCTCATTCTTTGAGGTATTTATTTTGTGCATCTGCAGTAGGTACTAGAGTAAACCTAAGGTGACCAGACGTCCCGATTTTTAACAATTTGTCCTGTATCCCAGGGTGTTTTTAAAAAATCCCACTTTTTGGAAAGAATGCATGACAGGCTAGGTAATGGCAGGAGAACGGGAAGGGAATATACGGTTTTCAGCTGCCATGTGGCTATTCACCAGGATATGAGTTTTATATTATTTTTGTTAATTTTATAATGTTAAACTTTAATAATAACAAATAATTATTGAGAACTGATTATCAAGATTATCGAGAACTGTTTATCAAAGTTCACATTGTTGATCAGTTGTTAGAATTTAATGAGAAATATGCCAAAGAACAAAATAATACTATACATAATTTTTTAATGTATTATATTTGTAAAGTGTACTTATGTTGAAATTGAAAAAATATATTACAATACCATTTTTGCGTTCTATGAAAATTTTTGTTGCTCCATATAGACCAAATTTTTAATTAGGAACCCCCCCACACACGTGAATAATGTCCCACTTTACCAATGTTAAAATCTGGTCACCTTAAGTAAACCATGAATTTGGCACAGAATTTGCCTCTAAGGAGACTGTAGTCTAGCGGAGAAATTAAGCTTGTAAACATATGATTAAAACGCAACGTGATCAACTGAATTTCAGTGATCTCTGCAACAAAAAAAGCAAAACCAAAACTGGGGGCCAGGAACGGAGCTTCTACAGCAAGCCACCCACACCTGGACATATTTAGCATCTCTTAGTAGGACTCTGTAAATAAACATGTCTTGTTCTTATTAATAGATGGATTAGAACCTTACTTTCTAGTTTACTTCCTAGTTAAATTAAGCACAGTTCTATAGAATGGACAGTAAACAGACCTATGTTGGAACTCTGACATATTTCCAATTCCACAATACTAACAATTATTTCTGTTCACATCTAGTTGCTATTTCTTTTCCACCCACCCTCACTGGAGACCCTCATCATTCCTGCTTCATACTGGCCTGTACTGAAGTCCTTGTTCCTGGGTTCAAGCCCTGGCCTCAGCCTCTGCTTGTGCCCTGATCATTAAGTGTCCTCATCACTTGCACTGTCAGGGCATTTTCTCCCTCCCAGGATCCTCTGCACAAAGACCAATGTGCTCTGCTGATCACTCGGGAATGGTCTCTTTCCAGGTCAGAGACCTTGTGGCCCACTGATATCCCTGAACCTCAGCACTCTACATTTCTGTATTCTGTCTACGTCTGGGATGCTGGGAAGAGCAGTTTTTCTCCTTAGACTGAGTTCAAGAGTGCCAAACTTCCCAGACCTACAGCAATTCAGAAATTTTACTGTTTTAACCTAATTTCAAACTGACAGTTATGTCAGCTATACCACTTATTACATTCACCTTAACCTTATAGTTGAAGCAATATCTACCAAGAGTTTTAATTGGCACGAGAATGTTACTTTTTAGCTTGTAGGAATTCCATTTCCCTTCCACTTCTCATTGTATATATTACATTGTACAGATCCATTTTTAGCCCAATGACATTTTTAAAGTGTTTTTATTTTTGTTCATGGAACCATCAAACCATATATTGTTATTCAAAGAATAAAAGATCAATGTTTTAAATAAAACACTTGAGTGTATTCACCTAACTCATTAAAAAAATTCTTAAGCACTCACCATTTCTAGTTGCTTACTAAGTACGAGAAGTAACTGTTCTTTGGAGCTCAGAGTCTGGTGAAGGGAACAGACATGACAACGAACAATTGATAATTTAGGATGACACAAGAAGGAGGTCAGAGTGGTCAGGGCCATTTAAACAAGAGAAGGAACACTAACCCTCCTGGGAATGCAGAGGGGGCCTCACTGAGGAGATAATGCTGGAGCTGAATCTTGAAGGAGAAACACAAGTTTTCTAAAAGAAGAAAGAGCTTTCAGACAGAGGGAAAACCATGTTCACAACTGCAAAAAGCAGAGAAGACTGCAATGCTCAGTGATACAGAAGCAGAATACAGGAGTGGGAAGAGAACAGGCTAGAAAAAGACAGGTGAGAGACCCCTCTAAGGGGCTTATATACATCAGAAGGCATCTGGCTATTACCCAGGGGGCTCTGAGCAGCCACTGAAAGATTCCAGTCAAGTGCTTCATGAACAGACTGTGTTTTATAAGGTCACTCTGACTGGAGCTTGAGAAAAATGGTGGAGGGGGCAGGACGGAAGGCAAGGGAAGCCAGGTAGCAGATTCTTGCTTGGTTCATCTTAGAAATGCTCAAGAGGCTGGACAAAAGGAGTTACACGACTACAGAAAGATGAGAACAGATATAAGAGACTTTTCAAAGGCAAAATCAACGAGACCTGGTAACAGGCTGGGGGAGGGGTGTGGGTAAGAGAGTTGTATCTAGGAAGACAAGTCGTATCCTGGGTTTTTGGTTATTACCAGATCCTTCCCCCACAAAATTACTACTCCCTAGCTGTGATGCCATCTGCCAACTTTCAGCATACAGCAAATTTCATTTCCAAAGAACTACAAGTAAACAGAAATACTTTCCAACTTGTAAGATATCAGACAGATCTTAAGTCCATAAGGGACCAACACATGGACCAGCAGCTATGGGAACCAATCAGTTGGATGAAAGTATTTAAATCATAAAAGATTTTTGTCCATTATCCACCATAAGCTATAAAATGTCAAACATAAAATTTCAGAGTAAGTAAATGAAATCAGATGATAATGGGATAATATTCTCAGGGAACTCTGTACCCAAAGCAAACACCAAAAATCAATTAATAATCACTCAGTCTCCATAAACCTGCCAGCAACTGACCAGTTCATGACAGGACATAACGAAATAGAATGCCATGCCCAGTAAGTTCACCTTCCTCGCACACTCAGACTCAAAGCACATAATATTTAACTTAAACTGCAAAGCAGAAAGATCAACTTGTCACATTAACATCAGCTGAAAAACCATATGGTGATAGCTTCCATTTTAATTAACATTTCACTATTCATACTTCTATTAATTTTTAAAGATAGTTTTATTAGGTATTTTATAATCACATTTTAAAAATGCAGTCCATTTCACATGAATGTCCAATTTCAACTCATTTTTGACAAGGGAAAAATACACATATTTTATTTTACTCTCATATATAATGCTGATTATTGGGCTGTGGTCATCTGTATTTAACATGTTGAGGAGTCTTCATAAAGGACTTCATCTACCTTCATGTCATTTTCATCCACTGGGACCTGGAGGCAAATCTGTTCTTTGAAAGCCAGGGCCAGGGTATAGGGCTTCACCCCCTGATGCTCCAAACATCGCTTCAAGTAGGCGTCGTAGTAGCCCTTGCCCCTCCCCAGTCGGTTGCCGTGTTTGTCAAACCCAAGACCTGGCATGAAGATGAGATCAAGTCCCCCTGTAGAGAAAAGGAACACATGGAAGAAGATTAATGGTTTCTGGCACATTACTTCAGGATGCAGTTTTTGTTTTTTAATGACTTCTATTCTGCAGAAAATCCAAAAAGCACAGAGTTGGATAGAAAAGGAAATAAAACTTACTCAGCAACCCAGCAAGTCCTTCATCTATCCTTGTAGCAATTCTTACGATCTATATAGAGATGTACGGCCATATCTATATAGACCCATAGAGCTATAGATATCTGTACAAAATGCCAGATTCTAAGGGTCCATCCATGCCTGGTTAAAGAGAAGAAGGAAGGAAGGAAGGAGGAGGAAGGAGAAGGAAGAAGGAGGAAGGAGAAGAAAGAAGAAGGAAGAAGAAGAAGGAAGAAGGAGGAAGAAGGAGGAAGAAGGAAGAAGGAGGAAGAAGGAGGAAGAAGGAAGAAGAAGAGGAGGAGGAAGAAGGAAGGAAGAAGAAAGGAAGAAGGAGGAGGAAGAAGGAAGGAAGGAAGAAGAAGGAAGGAGAAGGAAGAAGGAGGAAGGAGAAGAAAGAAGAAGGAAGAAGAAGAAGGAAGAAGGAGGAAGAAGAAGAGGAGGAGGAAGAAGGAAGGAAGAAGAAAGGAAGAAGAAGGAGGAAGAAGGAAGGAGAAGGAGGAAGAAGGAAGGAGAAGGAGGAAGAAGGAAGGAGAAGGAGGAAGAAGGAAGGAGAAGGAAGGAGAAGGAAGGAGAAGGAACAAGAAGAACGAAGAAGGAGGAAGAAGGAAGAAGAAGAGGAGGAGGAAGAAGGAAGGAAGAAGAAAGGAAGAAGAAGGAGGAAGAAGGAAGGAGAAGGAAGGAGAAGGAAGAAGGAGAAGGAAGAGGAAGAAGCAAGAAGAAGAAGAGGAGGAGGAAAAAGAGAATCTCGAGGGATAGGGCCTTCGCCATCTTTTGTTTCTTTTTTAGCATCCCAATGATTCCACATACCTGCCAAATTTGGGAACCAATGCCCCAGGGAAGGACAGTTGGAGGGGTGAGAAGGTCAGAGAGGACCTAGACAAGGCAGAGTTAGTTGTTCTCAGGGTCAGTGAGCAGGGCAAGAGGCAGCTGCCAAGAGTACCAGTGGCTAGGACAGTCTATCCTCTTCTCGTCTCCCCTCCCACCTGAGGCAAGACCGTGCTGCTGGGCTTCCTGAGATGCACATCAGAGCAGCACATGACCTACTGAGAGCCCAGGAATTTGAGGTTGCTGAGGCCCCCTAACTTTGGCTGGAGCCCTTCCAAGTAATACAGGAACCAAAACTGACCATGGCGTCATCAGGACAGAACAAGATCCTGGGACTCAGGGTACAAGGCAGACTCTTGAAGACTACAAAAACCCAACCATATACCAGGCACGGTGACTCACACCTGTAATTCCACCACTCTGGAAGGCTGAGGTGGGAGGATCACTGAAGGCCAGGAGCAGGAGACCAGCCTGAGCATGAGCAAGATCCTATCTCTACTAAAAACAGAAAAAATTAGCTGGGTGTGGTAGCACAAGCCTACAGTCCCTGCTACTCAGGATAGGAAGATCAATTGAGCCCAGGAATTTGAGGTTGCTGTGAGCTAGGCTGACACTACGCACTCTAGCCCCAGTGACAGGGGCTCAAAAACACAAAACAAAGATACACCCACCTATCATTAGAGTGTGCGAAGATTCTCATAAAGAAGGTCATAGGAGAAGGGCCTCCACAGATATTATGAGCCCAGAGGATGATCCTCTAGTCTCTGATGAACAGCATGAGGTACCAACACCAGCACAAGAGCCACGTTCCCTGTCCTACCTAGTGATCTGCCCTGTGACCTTTCTGTACTGGACCTTGGCCTTCTGATGGCTGGTCTGGGGTCCTCTGGGTGATCTACAGCTTAATCACAGACTAACCACTCATACAGCATTGCTGCCAAGACATACCAGAGTTGGAAGCCATGAATTCTCTGGAACAGAGTATTCTTAGCAGAGATGCTCAGACTGCCAGCTAGGCTGGCCTGACTGTCAGCAGCTGTTCTGACTACATACAGAACTGTGAAGTGAACTCAGCTTCTCCCTGGATTCAGTATATACCTATCAATTCCTGCCTGCCAAAATCCAGCAGAGTACGTCTCAGATTACAATAATGACCTTCCCGCATAAACCTGCTTGTCTATTCCAATCCCAACTTGCTAAAAAGTGCTGGTCAGTGACGTAGGTCTTTCCTCCCTTTCCTGTCTCTGTCCAGTGTATTTGTCTCTCTTGGGGTTGACAATGGCCTGTGCACTTGGTTTGCTCCCTCATGTCCTTTTTCAGTTGCCAGAGCACTGTCACATTTGAAGTCCACCTCTGTCTTCTACACTTAGAGCACACATGCACACACCTTCCCTAGTATTCCTGCCTCTTTACAGTGTGGCGAGGTGGTTTATAAGGTTCTCTGGGGAACACACAGTCTCTTCCCTTCAGGAAATGTGCAACATACGTTCTAATGCCAGCCAGCAGTCTCTGCCAACTAAGTGCCCACAGGGCAACACAGACAGAAGTATCAAGATGAGGAGAAGGAGAAGACATGAGTGCAGAGTTCACTAAGTAGGAGCACAGACATGTGGGGCTCAAGGCTCAGAGACCCCCACAACAGCAAAAAAGCAAACAGCCCAATTAAAAAAATGAGTGAAGGACTTAAATAGACATTTCTCTAAAGACGACATGTGAATGGCCAACAGGCATTTGAAAAGATACTCAACCTCATGAGTCATCAGGGAAATGAAATCAAACCTCACCTCACACCCACTCCTGGTCTAAAAACCAGGAAGTCGCATATGTTGGTGAGGATGTGGAAACTAGAGCACTTGTGCACTGTTGGTGGGAACATATCATAAAATGGTGAAACCACTATGGAAAACGACATGCAGGTTCCTCAAAAGATTAAAATTAGAACTACCGTATAATTTAGCAACCCCACTTTTGGGTATTTATGTGAAAGAACTGAAATTAGGATCTTGAAGTGATATCTGCATACACACATTCACCACATTATTCACAACAGCCAAGACGTGGAGACAACCTAAGTGCCCACTGATGGATGAATGGACAAACATAACTGGTACAAATGGAATATCATTCAGCTATACAAAAGAAAGAAATGCTGTAATACGTAGCACATGAATGAACCTTGAAGATATTATGCCAAGTGAAATAAGTCAGGGACAAAAAGACAAATGCTGTGTGATTCAAGAGTAGTCAAACTCCTACAAGCAGAAAGCAGACTCGTGGCTTCCAGGAATAGGAAATGGAGAAAGGGGAGTTGCTGCTCAAGGGATGGAGGGCTTCAGTCATGCAAGATGAAAAAGCTTTAGAGATGTGCTGCACAAATTGTGCTTATAGTTAACGATTCTTTACTTAAAATCTTTTAAGAATGTAGATCTCATGTTATGTGTTACTTATCACAATAAAAAATAAAAAGGCAAAGAGGCCAAAATTAAAGCCAGAAGAATAGTGAGGATTTCACAAGAAACAGTGCACAAGAAAGAAGAGACAGAATTTTTGGAAAATCCACATCTAGAAGGTTAGAGGAAAAGAATGAAGAATGAATAAAAAGGTAAAACTTACATTCTCCAATCCCCTGAGTTATAAATTATTCTTGCCACAGCTCTCGCTGAAGTCCACCTTGCACATCTGCTGATTGTGTATGTTTCTGTTCTGCCCACCAGAACTTCTTTGAAGGTTATCATTTTTTATCAAGTCATCCTTCATGACTGAATTTTAATAGAATTTTATGCCAGGCTGGGTGTGGTGGCTCATACTTATAATTCTAGCACTCTGGGAGGCCAGGACAAGTGGACTGCTTGAGCTCAGGAATTCAAGACCAACCTAAGCAAGAGTGAGACTCCATCTCTACTAAATATAAAAAAACTAGCTGGGTGTTGAGGCAAGCTCCTATAGTCACAGCTACTCAGGAAGCTGAAGAAAGAGGATCACTTAAGCCCAAGAGTCAGCAGCTGACTCTTGAGGTTGCTATGAGCTGTCCTCTAACCAGGGCAAGAGCGACACTCTGCCTTTAAAAAAAAAAAAAAGAAAGAAAGAAAAGAAAAGAATTCTAGGCCAAAATTTAAACATCATCTATTTAATAACTCTAAAAAATAATAACTCTAAAATTTAAACACTCCGTATTTAGTAACTCTAAAGTATACAGGTTTTTGTCAAGGAGGGAAAAGAAAACAATAAAAGTATAAATATGGCTGTTTGTTCAAAGTTAGGCCTACAACTGCTAAGTAAGAAAGAGAATGGCTTTAGGGTTCTTGGGTAACAAAGGCTCTGAAATAGCACTTCCTAGGAGGGGTCCTGACATCCCATTTGGGGTGGGCTTGTTGGAGCTCCTGGCCACTGGCTTGTTACCACTGCTCCCTTCAACCATGGTCACCTGTTGACCCTGCCTTCAGGTCCTTAGGATACCCCTCTAGTCTGCCCCTGCTTCTGTTGTCTGGGGAATTCTAGTGTTTTCCTGAGACACACAGGGTACTCCTAGCTTGATTTCATCCATTTGTTGTCAAGCCTGATGTTCTTCCCGTGCCCCACCACCACCCTGCCCCTCTCCTCACACACACAGCCAGGGCTGATCATGTAGTAGTGACACTGTCCTGGGTGCTCTTCCTCTCCAACAACGGAGGATCAGCAAGCCTTGAAAATCAGCATGGGCTCAGCAAGCTTCTTGCACACATGCTAATCCCACAAACATAGGTAACTCCAGGCCCAACCTAACACATAACAAGGTCAAAACTCAGTAGAGGAAACAGGAGAAAAACCCTCAATCCATTATGTGTGTCCAGCATGGCTTATTTTCAAATTATCAGAGGCTCATTAACAGAGGACACTGACATTAGCATAACATGTGAGAAGAGCCAGTCGCCTCTGTTGCTCAGTCCTGTTCACTCTTGCCTCCCAGGCCTGCCAGCACAGAACGAGACCCGCAGACCAGAGCACACCAGCTGCAGCAGGATCACAACACGGTATTCAGAAAGAGCTCTCTGGAAGT